GAGCCCAAAATCACAAAACCCTCTTTAACACATTTTGAAACCCTAAGTCCCAAAATTTTCCCAACTTCAACACTTTATCAAAACAACCAAAAATCTAGGTTAAAACCCATAAGAGTGAGTAGGAATCCCTACCTCAAAAGTTGACACCCAACGAAGAAGATGATAAAAACGAAGTTGCTCCAAACCACAAGTTTCTCTGATCAAAAGATAGCCCTCGACGATCAACAACCTTTTTATAAAGGCCAAAGATGAGGAAACAACTCTAACTAGATCAATACCTAGAGAGAAGGCAAGGTTCTAGAGAGAGAAGCTCTCAAATGGCGTTTTGGAAAAGTAAGAGAGAGAGTGTGAATGTAAAAAGTGATTTTAAAATGTCCAGCTGTCAACTGATATACGACATTCCCGCTCGAGCGGAGAACACAATGCTCGAGCGTCAAGAACAAAAACTAGGTCCGCTCGAGCGCAATAAGACCCGCTCGAGCGCCAAGACACAAGAATAAAGTACATCCGCTCGAGCGCGAAAACCAGTCCGCTCGAGCGTAGATTTCCCCTTCCTAGAACGTACACCCAAAGGTACTACCCGCTCAAGCGCCAAAGTACCCGCTCGAGCGCCACCGCTCGAGCGTAAAGAAACCCGCTCGAGCATAAAAATCACACCTGCAGAAGTTTTGCAGGGACATGAAAAACTGGGAGCGAGCAATCTCCGCTCGAGCGCAAGAAGACCCGCTTGAGCGGACCTCCTAAAATCTGGGCGACAAAGAATTGAAACCAAAGCCTAACCAACATGTAACAACTCTGCCCAATACATCCTACAACTCAATCAAGTGGAATTAAAGGATAACAACAAGGTGTACCACTACCAACATCACGGAACCGAGTCCGGAATACAACAGAACAGCAAAGGGACAACCGGGATCGCTATACTAAATGTGTCATCTTCATCACCATCATCAACGCTATTGAACTTGAAAGTTTTGCTTCAAGTATAACTTATATTTTATCACTTATTTTACTTATTTCACTGTGTAGAGCAATGAACAACAATTCTAGTGAGAACGACGTTCCATTAATAAGTTTATCTGTCTTGTATTAACATTTTCGGTCGTTTTTGGTCGTTCTTATTTCGTTCGAGCAGTTCGGTACTGGTTTGCTGACTGTAAAAATTATGTTTGGTAATACAGTACTAAATATAATCATTTCGTTCAATACATAGGTTCCGAACATTAATGCAAATAGTTAGTCATGTAATTTTCTTTGTTAAACTAACTTAGAATGGAAAAGAGTGAATTAGAATAGATTTAAGTTATGTATTTTGAATGGATTTAATTCATGTTATTTTAAGTTGTGAATTAGAATGGATTCAAGTTACATAGTGATGAGCAAATTTTGTTCGGACATACAGTGCTGACAGGATCATTATTGTTTGACAAAACAGTTCTGAACAAAGTACATTTTTTCTGCTACACAGTGGTGAACCAATTGTTTTGGGTTACATTTAGAATTCTGATGGCGATTCAGATGATGATTTTGTTTTTCCTCATCTTGCAAACGGTTATGCAAATCCCGTAGAAATTGGAGTATCTTCGATCGATCTCAGCAATGACGAAGATACAAAACGCAACGAAGAAGATGATGATGAGAGAATGAGAAAGGTTACTGATTCGGCGATACGGAGAGCGTTCAGAGAAGATGAGAGTCGTCGGAATACTCCGTTGACGGTCAAGACGGCGACGAGAGTAATGGAGGGTTGGGGTTCAAGAATTCTATACTGGACCAAAGCTCCAAGCTCTGAAGATTAAGTGAGTCAGGGAAGGAGAATGATGAAAAATTAGGTGGGTGTACATTTCATTGTAAAAATATTATGAATACAGGTAGATTTGGTAATAAGTGGGGTGCCCAAAAAAATATTATTAAAATTTAAGATTTAGGGTTAGGGTCCAAAGAAATGGAGGGTCCAAAGAATTTTGATAGGTGCTAATAGCAGCACTCATACTCAAAAGAAATATGAATTAGATAAAATAAAACATTTTAAAAAAAATTATCAAAAAATGACCCTATAAAAATCTATAAAATGATTAAAATTGACCATTAAAATAAGGTTCGCTTTCGTGATTGGACTAGAATAAACATTCGGTGTTACTCAAGCCGATAATATCTCACTGAGGATTGCCATATCATAATTGCCTCTCCAAAGCCCCTTCTATATACTTATTTATTTAAATTTTAGCTAAAAAATAGGACCACAGTAGACAGGTGGTGTCACGGAGCAAAGATTCTCTCCTCCTCTCTCTTACTTGATTCCCTCTTTTTAATAGTTAAAATTCACTCTAAAAAAATTTAATAGTAAACAATATTATTTTTTAATTTTTATTTTTTTTAATAAAATGATTTGGACTGTTAAATTCTCTTATAGTGAATTTTAACCATTGCAAAAAAAAATCAAGTAAGAAAGACAAAGAGAGAATCCTTGCTCGGTGACACACCCATTTGGTACTTCTCCAACTGTATCTCAAAGTATGATAAAATATATATATATATATATAAATATAATATAAATACATATGTCAATGCATATTTGTTTAGGATGTATGGATCTAATTGGTAGAGAGACAACCAATGGACCACAAATTAATAAACAACTTGAGCAGTCAGGTGAACTGACCTTAGGGCCCTAACATTTCTATTTCAGATTTGGATCAATCAAAATCATAAGTATGACCCACCACCATGAACTAGGTCGCAGACATATGTGCCTCATGTCTAAAACTATGAGACTGTTTGTTATAGTTTTTTTTGGACTGATTATAATTTATTTTGATTTGAGAGTTTATATTAGATTGTTTGGTGTAGTTTTTGTTTATAATTTATTAAGTAGAAATAGTTTAAATAAATTGAAAAAAATTAATTATTTAAAAGTTAAGATAAGAGTACTTTTAAATTCTACTTTCTGATTATTAACTTTTAACTTAAAAAAAAATTCCACCAAACAGGCCTATATCCACATATAGATTAACCTAACTTTCAAATTTTCAAAATAAGTCTTAACTAATTATAGTGAAGGTTACCCTAAAGTTGGCCCTTAAATTCAAACACCAAATTGCGTACCTATGTAAACACGTTCCCAAAGAGATAAGGGGTTGGCCATGTATGACACTTATATGGCATGATGTTCAAATTTAAAATTTATTATTATACAATGTAATTTTTTATTTTTTATTTTTATTCTCTTACTTAAAGGTTGGGATTAGGCTTAGGTTAGACTAGCACAACCCAACCCAACCCATTGGCTAAGCCTAGCATTAGGGACAACATATGGTTAAAATTTATTCTTTTATTTTTTTGTCAGGTCAATAGGCATAGACCAATAGTTCGAATCAAGTTTTAACACTTAGGCTCACGCCCATGTCCATGCCCATGCCAAGCCTTATTTGGACTTGTCCAACCTATTTAGGATATGGGTTTGGGCTTAGACTCGGGTTAGATGATCCTTGACGATCTTTTACAATTACTCTTGCGTTATGCAATTTCCTCCTCTCTTTTTTTTGTTTTTTGTTTTTTCTATTCTCATCTATTGATTATTAATATCTGAAAAAAAAATAATAATAATAAAGTAACCCACGTCCACTCTATGATTGCATAGTGCCATACACATCCTTATCATGGAGTTCCCACCTTCACATTCATCTCCAAAACACCCCCTCTAAATGTAAGGTTGTTTCCTCATCAATCTCACCCCCATTCCCACTTGTTTTTTTTTTTTTTTTTTGAGCTTTATTTCAATAAACTCTTTATTATATATCAAATGTCTATCTCTGAAATCTCAGCTTCACCTCCATTGCGAGAGTCCTCCTCATCTCCTCTGAGAATCCAAAAGGTTTCAAAGTCGGTCTCCGATCGGCTTCTCGTGAAATTCTCAGATGTTTCAGAATTGGGATTTGATTATTCTCAGAGTGGACTGTGGTCTCCTCCAATCAGAAGAAGTGTGTTCTTGAGCTCACCCGGTCTCATTTTTACAGAACATGAAATGGTGGAGAAGCTAAGTGCTTTGGAGGCTCGCCGGAGACGAAAATACAGAGGTTGCCTCAATGTATGGAAACTACTGCATTGTATTCTTGTTTCATGAAACTCTTTTTTTCGTTTTCATTTTTTAGAGAATTTGTTTGGCGAATTGTTTTCGCGAATTGTTTTTGGAATTTTTCTTTTTTAAAAATAACCCACTTTTTAGGAAAAACGAAAAAAAAATTGCGCATTGGGTATGGTTTTCGAAAACTGTTTTTTGTTATTGAAAAAAACATAGAAATTGATTAGAAAACTTGTTTAGAAGTCTGTTTGGTTTCAATTTGAGAATCAATTTTTTAAAAAATTTCTGAAAAAATAAAAATTTGTTTGACAAAAAAAAACATTAAAAAGATATTTCAAAAATTTTAAATTATTCTCTATCTCTCAAAAAATCTAAAAATATATGAACAAGAAGACTATTTTGTAATTTTTATTTTACTAAATTAGTTTTTAATTCAAAATACAGATTCTGAAAATCAGCCAAACAGAGCTAAAGCAAGTGCTTTTAATTTTTTTTCTTTTTTTGAATTCTCAAAATCTATTTTTTTGACAATAATGAAAAGATATAAAATGATTTTGAACTCTTAATTCTTTTTGTTTTCGAAGACATGGATAGCGAAAGTATCAAAAAATAAAACAAAAACAGAACAAAGTCGCTTCGCAATTTTTGAAAATTGTTTTTGCACAAAATTAAAAACAATACGAAAATAAGAGGTGTTTTCAAACTTTTATTATTTTGTTTTGTAAACATAAAGAATAAAAAAAAATGAAAACATAAAATCACATTATTTTAGCCAATTCTCTGTATTGAAACATGTGTTCAATTGAAAAGACATTAACATTTACATAGAACTCTTTTTTGTGCAGGCATTTTGGTGTTCTCCACGGAGATGTTGAACCCAGGCTGGAAATATCCAAGTTTTATTTTCCTGTTCTTCCCATCTCCTCAATTGTAAATGTCTTTTATTTTAATTTAAAAAAATATAGAGAAAGAGAATGCATAATCATATATGCATATGGTCCAGTTGTATCTCTTCTAGTTTTTTTGTTCTGTTTTATTTTTTAATTTCTCTATGCTTGCAAGATTTTGTGTAGATTTCAAGCAACCCACGGAAAATTTTGAGCTGCAATTCTTCCAAAGAATTAGAAATAGAACTGCGTATATTTTGTCCACTTTAGACCTACTATTTTATAGTGAAAACATTATCATTAAAGGTTTCATTTGATAGAGACTCAGGGCATCTCTAACGGTTCACCAAACATTTTATCAAATTTAAATGAAAAAAAGCATGAATTCTTCTATTTGATATCAACCACTCCGACAGTGAATTTGTAGCTGTCATTAAAACACAGGTCGATCGGGGGACGTCCAACCGATCGACTGACAACTGTAATCCAGCTTAACAAGTGCACTGCTTGTATGATTTCCCTCCCTTTTTTTCTTCACGTTCTGTCATTATTTTCCTTCTTTTTTTTCTTCTCTGTTTATTCCATGAAAGAAAAGTAGTAGGTTTCAAACATTATTCACAAATAGAAGGACTTGGGAAAAAAGCAAGCAACTCACCATGCAGACTAGATAAAGTATGGAACGATGAAAGATGGAGGGTTCACTTGATCAAGGTCTAACAATGTGTCCACACATTCAAATGCTGCTTTCCTCAGCTCAAGCCATCATCCACTATGTGCTTGAAAGGACCAAGATCAACTGTTCGTATCAATTCTTTCTGCAACAAAAATGCATATCAGAATATGTGAGAGCCAAAGCTAAATAATGATCAAAGAATAATTAAAGAAAAAGTTAAAATGGTAACGGAAGTTGGTAAAAAGTTAATTTTTTGACTTTTTAATTTTTTTACACAAAAAAATTAAAAAAAGCCACAAAAAGTTTAGCTTTTTTAGCAAAAAAGTCAAAGAAATTAATTTTTTACTAATTTCTCAAATCATCATAGAAATTGAATAATACACTTTATGTTCCACAGAAGCTTTTTATGTGAACTAATCATATTTAAGCATCAATTTTTTACCAGAAAACAAAAGGAGAACTCTGGCACATTTTAAAAGAGTGAAGCAATGAAAGAACCCTTTCATGTGAACATATATAATCATATTTAAGCTTGAACATATATAATCACTATAAATAAACATTTTGGTTTCGTAATCAAATGAGTTATCATAAGAAGCTCAATATCTAAATTAATAATTGAGAGGGTAATTTTTGGGAAAAATTGGGCCGAACCGCGAGTTGGGCATTGAGGCCCAAAACGCGAAGGACTAAGTAAGAAGGCCGCAATAGATACTCCGGCCCAGAAGGGCAAAGTTACTCCGGCCTTGGAAAGACAAAGTTACTTCGGCCCAAGGAGGTGAAATTACTCCGGCTCAAGAAGAGATATTTACTTCGGCCCAAGGAAGAGTAAAACTACTCCGGTCTTTAGGCAACTCACAGTTAGGCCGGTCTCAGAGTTAGTCCGGTCACAGTATGTTCTGAGAAGGCCGGTTTCGGAGTTAGTCCGGTCGTGACTTAAAATGGTTAGGTCGGTCAGAACTTGTTACTTGGAAGTTTGATCTAAGTACGTCAAGGTTGAACAAGGGCAGCCGAAGTAATGAGTTAGAAGAGAAGACCGAGCTAAGGATAGTTCGGCCTTCTCTGTGGCTCAGCATAGCCAATGTTATTTCGGTCGTATGGTAGTTCGGCTATGGAGAAAACCATCCCACTTGGTTTAAGCAGTGGGGGAGGGTGTAAAAGGATAAGCATTATCCTTAGGAGAATGAATCCTAGGAGGACTCTGCATGGAGAAATACAAGTCCTACTAGGATTGTGCCACGGGAAACTTATAAAAGCTCACAAGCATCACCTTGGAGGAGGTAATTAAACACAAAGGGAAGCACGTATTGGCCTTCACATTCACACCAAACCAGATCCAGACAAACCGAGCTACCCAGGTCATCCGACTTACGAACCGTGCTAGAAGAAAAAGCACGATGCAAGGAGGATGCCAGGGCAAGAGATCCACACCGAGTTTCGGCCTTACAACGGTTGGCTCCTCAGACGCACGGAAGCGTCGAGGTTGGAATGCCAATACCGCGACCGGCCTACGAACCAACAGACAAGGCATTGGCAAGACTACAGACTTCGCCGTTTGTCCCAACGCGATTCGAAACAGCACCCCTACCAATCAGGCTTCCTTTTCAGCCGAGTTCAATAACATATGAAGGGAAAGGAACGGATCCGTATTCTCACCTGAGCCACTTTCGCCAAGTCATGGCTCTGTAATACAGGCGAAAGAGGCCACTAATGTGCATCTCTTCCCATGCAAGGTCTGGGCACATCTGACTTAGGCCTGACTTGGGTTCGAAATAACTCAGGGGCAGCAAGCCTCCTGGGCCAGTTGGCGGACAGCGTTCGTACAAAGGTTTCGGACAAATACTAAAACACAGCGGTGGAGATAGACCAGTTACTGTCCATCGACTGGGTGGAGAAAGAAACCCTCAGATCTTACAAAGTCGCTACTGGGAAACATTCAAACCAGATTGGAGACTGCCCACCAATCTAGCCAATTGCGAATAATATGAAGAGGCCTACCAGTAGGGAACGACTAAGGGATTCAATTACCATGAAGTCAACCCCTCCATGGAGGCCGCTGATGGAGAGAGTGCATCAGGCACTAGGGTAGAAGAGGATGCGCCGCGCATCCCCCGTGAAAGGCGAAATCTAGTGCTACGCCGATAGTACCCAGAAAAGAAGGACCTCAGCAAAGGTCAATACAGTAGATAGGTACAGAACAAGAAACGGGCGTGGCAAGACGAGATAAACGGAGAAGACCCAGACAAATAGGATGGATTGAAGAATCCGCATGCCATAACAACGGTGTTTCAAAAAAAAAACCAATATAATCGGATTCTGAGCGAAATAAAAAGACGAGCCATTCGTCAAGGTGGCCAGCTAAGCTAGGGGAAGCTCAGAGAATTACGACGACAGATTCGGTGCCCCTTCCACAAAGAAAAAGGACACGCGAACTGAAGATTGCACCCACTGAGTGCGCATTTGGAAGAATTTGGTTGTAAAGGCAGGTCCATTTGGAGCGAATACATTGAAGGAGGAGCACAACCGGCCCCCCAAGATTCATAATGCACCAACCGAACAGATGCCAAACGAGGATGCACGCACGACAAGGCATTATCAATGTAATTCATGGAGTTATATTGAAACCTCGAGCGCCGTATACGAGCTTTAGAGGTTCCGGAGTCAAGTAGGCTGAGCACTTTGAGGGAAGTATTAAGTGCCAACCCGCCATCAAGAAGGGGAGGACAGATGGCAACAAACGTCATGCTCCTTTGATAAAGGACTTGGAAACGAATTTACTTGCCTGCCCATAAATGATGCCTGGTTTGTCCACTCTCCGAGTCAAGGATTTTGCACGTCAAGCGATCTGATTGAC